GTGTTGAATAGAACATGCATTTTCAATCAAGAGATATTTTAACCTAAGGGGATGAAAACATTGATATCCATAAGGTTTGTGGCCTTGCAAAGGATATAAGTATGTACAATCTATTTGTGATATTAGAACTTTATAAGGGGGGAGCTATTAGGGAAAAGTTAAAAGCCTCCATAGAGGGGGGAAATGAAGAAGAGTTTGAGAAACTCGGCTCTAGAGGAAACCAGTATGAATTGGGCCACTAATTTGAGTGCCATTAAATAGTATTAAAGGCACCTCTATATTCTGATGAGCAGTATGCCATCTTGAGCCACTTAGTTCTGAGCCTGTTTTCCACATCTGCAAAATGGAAACAAGGGAGTTTGTTTGATTATGTGGCTGTGAAGATAAATGACTTAAGGCCAGGGTGTTTCATCTTTTGGCTTCCCTGGGCCACATTGGAAGAAGAGTTATTTTGGGCTGCCCCTAAAAGACATTGACACTAATGATAGCTTATGAGCTTAAAAAATATTGTAAAACTATCTCATAATGTTTTAAGAAGCTTATGAATTTGTGTTGGGCTGAATTCAAAGCTGGTCAGGGCCTGGGTTGGACAAGCTTGCCTTAAGGTCTAAGAGGATGAAGTTGTATGTTTTTGTTCCTGCTTGGAGAGGGTGGTGGTGGTGAATGTTGGCCTCTGAAAAGTAGAATGGCGTGGTTATAATGTTTTTTGCATGAGATTTATTGATTTTTTTTTTTTTTTTGGCAGTCTTTCTCCATTGCCCAGGCTGGAGTGCAGTGGTGTGGTCTCTGCTCATCTCCACCTCCTGGGTTCAAGTGATTCTCCTGCCTGGCAAATTTTTGTATTTTTAGTAGAGACAGGGTTTCACCGTGTTGGCCTGCGTGGTCTCGAACTCCTACACTCAAGTAATCCACCCAACTCAGCCTCCCAAAGTGCCGGGATTACAGGTGTGAGCCACCATGCCCTGCCTGGTTCTACTTTTATTTCTGGAGGCTATAAAGCATTCATCTTTTCTGCACCCTAATTTATTTAACCAAAATCTTACTGATGGACCAAGGTGCATTCATTTTTGTTGCTGTTTGTTAACATGAGAAATGCTATAAGCAATATCCTCGAAGTACATTGAGGAAATTCCTGAAAAAGGAATTGTGTCCGGGCGCGCTGGCTCACACCTGTAATCCCAGGACTTTGGGAGTCTGAGGTGGGCAGATCACGAGGTCAAGAGATCGAGACCATCCTGGACAACATGGTGACACCCTGTCTCTACTAAAAATACAAAAATTAGCCGGGCATGGTGGTGCACGCCTGTAGTCCCAGCTACTTGGGAGGCTGAGGCAGGAGAATTGCTTGAACCCGGAAGACGGAGGTTGCGGTGAGCCGAGATCGTGCCATTGCACTCCAGCCTGGCAACAGAGTGAGACTCTATCTCAAAAAAAAGAAAAGAAAAGGCATTGCTAGGTCAAAGGAAATTTTACTAAAATCAAGATGTTGCCAGACTCCCTGAAAGAGCTGTATCCATGTGTATACTCCTACCAATAGTACTTCCTTCCCTAACAAGAGAAACTGTTTCACTTAACATTCTCGACACATAATCATCAAAATTACTCTTCTAGAATGATTGTGCCCCCCAACACTCCCACTAGCACTGGTTACCAGTCTTGGGAAATCATACAGATAGATACTATTTATCTGAGAGTTGGTGGTTCCCAGATAAATAGTTGCCAGTGTTCTGGAAATTGAGGAACATTTTTAACTTGATCATTGAAATGAGGCAGACTGGCAGCAGTATTGGGCTGTGAGAAAGGAGAGTTTGTGTTGTGCCTGCTCCTGGAACTCTACATGGAAGTAGCAGCATCGTACTGCATCCTAACACTTTCAGAACAACTTCTGGAAGTCCCAGAAATAGGACAGGAATGGGTGGTCTCCTCCCACCCCTTCCTAACCAAGGCAGCCTCTTTGCTGTCCTACCTTAAGGTTTCTGTGAGGGGAAAGATAGTTGCAATCCTAACAGAAGAAACATGCTCAGAAATGTACAAATAAAGGCTTCCAATAGAGGATGTTACTCCATCCCTGGGTTTTAATATGGGCTCTGCAGTTTACTTAACATTTTGTCTTGGGCAAGTTAATGTCCTCTGTGCCTCAGTTATCCCCTCTGTCAAATAGGATAATAGTTTCTATTTCAGAGTTGTTAATATAAATTGTTTATAATCACACCTGGCACATACAAAGTAAGTGCCCGAAAGTTATCTGTCAGTAACTTTTTGTGTGGCAGAAGTCACACTGTTTGTTTTTCCCTTCCTTCCTTCCTACCTTCCTTCTTGTCTTTCTGTCCTTCCTTCTTTCCTTCCTCTCCTTCCTTCCTTCCATCTTTCCTTCCTCTTTCCTTCTCTCTCCTTCCTTCTCCTCTCTTCTCTTCTTTCTTTTCTTTCTTTCGAGTTTCGCTCCTGCTGCCCAGGCTGGAGTGCAATGGTGTGATCTTGGCTCACTGCAACCTCCGCCTCCTGGGTTCAAGTGATTCTCCCGTGGCAGCCTCCCTAGTATATGGGACTACAGGCATGCACTACCATGCCTGGCTAATTTTCTATTTTTAGTAGAGACTAAAAAAAAATTTAGTTTCTCCATATTGCTCAGGCTGGTTTTGAAATCCTGACTTCAGGTGATCTGCCCGCCTCTGCCTCTCAAAGTACTGGGAGTACAGGCATGAGCCACTGTGCCGGGTTTTTTCCTCATCTTTAAATGGAGCTGATATTTAATAGGATTAAATGATTATAGTGTGGACATCTGTGGGTACAAAATCTTTATGGGGCTCATCTTTTCACCATTGGGTCTTCAACCCCTGCTTTGCACACAATAGGAGGTAGGTATTCTTTAATGAGAGGCATTAAACTGTTTGATTCTTTTTTTTTTTTTTTTTTTTTTTGAGATGGAGTTTCGCTGTTGTTACCCAGACTGGAGTGCAATGGCGCAATCTCCACTCACCGCAACCTCCGCCTTCTGGCTTCAAGCAATTCTCCTGCCTCAGCCTCCTGAGTAGCTGGGACTACAGGCGCGCACCACCATGCCCAGCTAATTTTTGTAATTTTAGTAGAGACGGGGTTTCACCTCATTGACTAGGATCCACTCTCCTCTTGACCTCATGATCCACCCTCCTCGGCCTCCCAAAGTGCTGGGATTATAGGTGTGAGCCACCATGCCCGGCCTAAACTGTTTGATTCTAAGGCGTTGTTCTCAGCAGTACTGATTGCATTAATAAATCCAGGCATCTGTCTGGATTATCATCTTGATTATGCGTGCTGAGTCAGCATTCTCAGGGGTGCACCTGCTATCTCCGACCTCCTATTGACAGGTGTGGCTAGGTTGGCCCTGGCCAAGCTTTCTTAACTCTGGCAGGCCGGACCTCCCATGGCTATTGTCTCTTCCACTGAGCCACCTCCAGCCTACACATACCTTGCAAGACTTCATGTTGTGACCCAGTCTGAAATAAGTAAAGATTCCATCAGTTTGTTAAGGCCATGGCTCCAGATCAGTCCCTCCTGGAAACTTGCTGCTGGACTGTGCCATCAAAAGCCCAGGGTTGTATCAGGGTGCGGTGGCTCACTTCTGTAATCCCAGCACTTTGGGAGGCTGAGGCAGGCGGATCACTTGAACCTAGGAGTTTGAGACCAGCCTGGCCAACATGGTGAAACCCCACCGCTACTAAAATTACAAAAATCAGCCAGGCCTGGTGGCGCATGCCTGTAATCCCAGCTACTTAGGAGGCTGAGGCATGCGAATAGCTTGAACCCAGGAAGTGGCAGTCACAGTGAGCCGAGATTGAGCCACTATACTCCAGCCCTTCCTGGCCCCTTTTCCTTGTGAGTTTGTGCTTGCTTTTTTTTTTTTTTCCCTTCCAGACGGGGTCTCACGCTGTCACCCAGGTTGGAGTGGCTTGACCTCCCAGGTTCAAGCGATTCTCCTGCCTCAGCCTGTGCTGAGTAGCTTGAACTACATGGGCACACTGCCATGCCCAGCTATTTTTATCTTCTTATTTTTTATAGAGACGGGGTCTCACTGTGTTGCTGCTTTCGAACTCCTAGCCTCTCAAAAGTGGCCTCAAAGTGCTGGGGTGACTGGTATGAGCCGCTGCGTCCAGCCACATTTGTGCATCTCAAACACAGGTTTTGTTTTAAACAAAGTGGTCATGTTGTACATATTGTTGCTCAGCCCGTGTCTTTCACCTCATTTCTGTGGCATACAGGAATTCTGCATAATTCTTACACTATGGGTGGAGATGGCAAAATTTACCTCTTTGCTGCTGTGAACATTTCTGAAAAAACAAACAAAAATTCCTAGATCATTGTATACTCGTTTGAGTGTCTCTTGTTTGGTTTAGATTCATAGGCTCAGCCGCTGGGTCTGAGATATGCCCGTTTGTCCTGTGGCCTGGCCCCCAGCTCCAGTGATATCCTGGTGATGGGGGGTCTACCCGAGAGGGCAGCGGGAAGGAGAGAACAATAAAGTAGCTTTGAGAGACTTCCAGGCTTCTTGTGTAAAGGACCAGGGCATCTGGCTAGAACCAGTCCCAAGTTTGGAGTTGCAGTGTGTAGACTGGCACTAACCCTAAAGTAAATAAACCCCAGTTACAAAAGAAATTCAGGGATCAGCCTTTTTTTTTTTTTCTTGAGACAGAGTCTCACTTTGTCACCTAGGCTGGAGTGCAGTGGCATGATCCCTGCTCACTGCAACCTCTGCCTCCTGGGTTCAAGCGATTCTCATGCCTCAGCCTCCCAAGTAGCTCGGATTATGGGAGCCTGCCACCACGCCTGGCTAAATTTTGTGTTTTTAGCAGAGACAAGATCTCACCATGTTGGCCGGACTGGTCTTGAACTCTCAACCTCAGGTGGGTCTGCCCACTTTAGCCTTCCAAAGTGATGGGACTACAGGCGTGAGCCACTGTGCCCAGCCTTCCACACATCCTTTACTCGGGAGGACAGAGTTCTTAGCTTTTTCTTTCTTGTTACAGGTGCTCCAGTGAACCACCCAGGGAATGACGATGAGGCGGGTGAGGACGAAGCCATAGTAAAGCGGCTTCGTCGGGAGGAGACGCACGTCTGCGAGAAATGCTGCGCGGAGTTCTTCAGCATCTCTGAGTTCCTGGAACATAAGAAAAATTGCACTAAACACCCACCTGTCCTCATCATGAATGACAGCGAGGGCCCGGTGCCTTCAGAAGACTTCTCTGGAGCTGTACTGAGCCAACAGTCCCCCAGTCCCAGCAGTAAGGACAGTCACAGGGAGAATGGTGGCAGCTCAGGGGACATGAAGGAGAAGCCAGGTGCGGAGTCTGTGGTGTACCTAAAGACAGAGACAGCCCTGCCACCCACCCCCCAGGACATAAGCTATTTACCCAAAGGCAAAGTGGCCAACACTAACGTGACCTTGCAGGCACTACGGGGCACCAAGGTGGCAGTGAATCAGCGGAGCGCGGATGCCCTCCCTGCCCCTGTGCCCTGTGCCAATAGCATCCCGTGGGTCCTGGAGCAGATCTTGTGTCTGCAGCAGCAGCAGCTCCAGCAGATCCAGCTTACTGAGCAGATCCGCGTCCAGGTGAACATGTGGGCCTCCCACGCCCTCCACTCGAGTGGGGCAGGGGCCGAAACGCTGAAGACCCTGAGCAGCCACGTGTCCCAGCAGGTGTCTGCAGCTGTGGCTCTGCTCAGCCAGAAAGCTGGAAGCCAAGGTCTGTCTCTGGATGCCTTGAAACAAGCCAAGCTACCTCACGCCAACATCCCTACTGCTACCAGCTCCCTGTCCCCAGGGCTGGCGCCCTTCACTCTGAAGCCGGATGGGACCCGGGTGCTCCCGAACGTCATGTCCCGCCTCCCGAGCGCTTTGCTTCCTCAGGCCCCAGGCTCGGTGCTCTTCCAGAGCCCTTTCTCCACCATGGCGCTAGACACATCCAAGAAGGGGAAGGGGAAGCCCCCAAACGTCTCCGCGGTGGAAGTCAAACCCAAGGACGAGGCGGTCCTCTACAAGCACAAGTGTAAGTACTGTAGCAAGGTTTTCGGGACTGATAGCTCCTTGCAGATCCACCTCCGCTCCCACACTGGAGAGAGACCCTTCGTGTGCTCTGTCTGTGGTCATCGCTTCACCACCAAGGGCAACCTCAAGGTGCACTTTCACCGACATCCCCAGGTGAAGGCAAACCCCCAGCTGTTTACCGAGTTCCAGGACAAAGTGGCGGCAGGCAATGGCACCCCCTATGCGCTCTCTGTACCTGACCCCATAGATGAATCGAGTCTTTCCTTAGACAGCAAACCTGTCCTTGTAACCCCCTCTGTAGGGCTACCTCAGAATCTCTCTTCGGGGACTAATCTCAAGGACCTCTCGGGTGGCCCCTTGCCCAGTGACCAGCCTGGGCCTTCTCCAGACAGTGAGGGTGGACCCACACTCCCTGGGGTGGGACCAGACCAGCATTCCCCAAGGGCTGGTGGCTTCCAAGGGAGTGGGACCCCCGAGCCAGGGTCAGAGACCCTGAAACTGCAGCAGCTGGTGGAGAACATTGACAAGGCCACCACCGATCCCAACGAATGTCTCATTTGCCACCGTGTCCTAAGCTGCCAGAGCTCCCTCAAGATGCATTACCGCACCCACACCGGGGAGAGACCATTCCAGTGTAAGATCTGTGGCCGAGCCTTTTCTACCAAAGGAAACCTGAAGACACACCTCGGGGTTCACCGAACCAACACATCCATTAAGACGCAGCATTCGTGCCCCATCTGCCAGAAGAAGTTCACCAATGCTGTGATGCTGCAGCAGCATATTCGCATGCACATGGGCGGTCAGATTCCCAACACGCCCCTGCCAGAGAATCCCTGTGACTTTACGGGTCCTGAGCCAATGACGGTGGGTGAGAATGGCAGCACTGGCACCATCTGCCATGACAATGTCATCGAAAGCATCGATGTAGACGAAGTTGGCTCCCAGGAGGCCCCCGGCAGCTCCTCGAAGGTCCCCACACCTCTTCCCAGCATCCACTCAGCATCACCCACACTTGGGTTTGCCATGATGGCTTCCTTAGATGCCCCAGGGAAAGTGGGTCCTGCCCCTTTTAACCTGCAGCGCCAGGGCAGCAGAGAAAACGGTTCCGTGGAGAGCGACGGCTTGACCAATGACTCATCATCACTGATGGGAGACCAGGAGTATCAGAGCCGGAGCCCAGACATCCTGGAAACCACATCCTTCCAGGCACTTTCCCCGGCCAATAGTCAAGCCGAAAGCATCAAGTCAAAGTCTCCCGATGCTGGGAGCAAAGCAGAGAGCTCCGAGAACAGCCGCACTGAGATGGAAGGTGATAGAGCTTTGGATTTAACTTATGTCCATTTTGGGCTCAAGGTCATCAAAAAGGCACCTGGGCTGAACTTTACAAATGGAGAGTATGACTTGAAGTAGCCCCTTCTAGAGGGCAATTAGCTTTTCTATACTTCTGGGTAGAGGGCAATAGTAACTGCCTCTATCCTAGTAACGAACATGCTTTTTGTTTATGGTGGTTAATGCAAAATGGGTATAGACAGCATACCTTTTTTATTGGTTTTTATTTTTGTCTTTGAGCCCGTTGGGACATAGGGGTAGTCTCATTTTGTTTTGTTTTAGTTTTTTTCTTTTTTTTTCTCTACACCATGATTCTGTATATGGGTGTCTTAAGAGTATGTTTGAGGGAGTGGGCGCTGTTTTTTGACCACTGAAATAAACCACGGTTCCCTGACTGAGGCCCCACTGCCTGATAAAATGTTCACAAATAAACCACTCTTGAAGCAGGGAAAGATGAACCCATTTTAAATGCACGTATCTATTGAGATGTGACTGACGTCATTAATGGCAAAATAAGGGAAAAGCTATATCATAGAATCAGGGAAAGATGGTGTCTGGGCATATACCAGACAGGTACCTTCTTATGCAGAAATGTGTGCTATAGGTTGCCCATACCTCTAAAAAATGCAAAGTCATCTTTTCCCACGTGTTAGAGGTTTTATTCTTTGTGCAGATAAACAATTCAAAGGAAGGTGTTAATTTCTGTTAAGGTGATTTTGAGGTGTTAATTTCTTAAAAGCCAGCTCCAGACTCTCAAACTAGCAGGCAGTTATCTTCAAAGGTCTTCCTTGTTTTGAAGAAGGGTGAATGTTGGGTGATAAAGGTCTGGCTTTTTTTCCTCTGTGTACCAGGTCGGAGCAGTCTCCCTTCCACGTTTATCCGAGCCCAGCCGACCTATGTCAAGGTTGAAGTTCCTGGCACGTTTGTGGGACCCTCAGCCTTGTCCCCAGGGATGACCCCTTTGTTAGCAGCCCAGCCACGCCGACAGGCCAAGCAACATGGCTGCACACGGTGTGGGAAGAACTTCTCATCTGCCAGCGCTCTTCAGATCCATGAGCGGACTCACACTGGAGAGAAGCCTTTTGTGTGCAACATTTGTGGGCGAGCTTTTACCACCAAAGGCAACTTGAAGGTGGGTTTGTGTGGGCTTCAGCAGGGCGGGGGCTTATTGGCACTATCCATGATGAGTTCCCATTAAGACCAGGTGGGATGGCCAAGCACGGTGGCTCCTGTGTGTCATACAATACTTTGGGAGGTTGAGGTGGGAGGATTGCTTGAGTGCAGGTGTTTGAGACCAGCCCGGGCAATACAGGGAGACAAGATCTTTCAAAAAAAAAAAAAATTAGTTGGGTGTGATGGTGCATGTTTGGGTCCCAGCTAATTGGGAGGCTGAGGTGGGAGGATCGCTTGAGCCTGAGAGATCAAGGCTGCAGTGATCTGTGATCATGCCACTGCACTCCAGCCTAAAAAACAGAATGAGACCCTGTCTCTTTAAAAAATAGTAATAATTTTTAAAATTAAAAAATTTTTTTTTTTTAAGAGATGGTGTTTCATCATGTTCGTCAGGCTGGTCTCAAACTCCTGACCTCGTGATCCACCCAAACCGGCCTCCCAAAGTGCTGGGATTACAGGCGTGAGCCACTGTGCCCAGCCTTAAATTTTAATTTTTTTTTTGAGATGGAGTTTTGCTGTTATTACCCAGACTGGAGTGCAATGGCACCATCTTGGCTCACTGCAACCTCTGCCTCCTGGGTTCAAGCAATTCTCCTGCCTCAGCCTCCCAAGTAGCTGGGGCTACAGGTGCACACCACCATGTCCAGCTAATTTTTTTTTTTTTTTTAGTAGAGACGGGGTTTCACCTTGTTGACCAGGATGGTCTCGATATCTCGACCTCGTGATCCACCCGCCTTGGCCTCCCAAAGTGCTTGGATTATAGGCATGAGCCACCACGCCTGGCCTAAATTTTTATTTAAAAAATTAAATATATTGGCTGGGTGGAGTGGCTCAACACCCATAATCTTTCTTTTTCTCTTCTTTTTTTTTTTGAGACCGGGTCTCACTTGTTTGCCAGGCTGGAGTGCAGTGACGTGATCTCAGCTCACCGAAACCTTCGTCTCCTGGGTTCAAGCAATTCTCCTGCCTCAGCTTCCCTAGTAGCTGGGACTACAGGCACCCGCCACCACACTCAGCTAATATTTGTGATTTTTAGTAGAGATGGGGTTCACTATGTTGGCCAGGATGGTCTTGAACTTCTGACCTCACGATTCACTTGCCTTGGCCTCCCAAACTGCTGGGATTTCAGGCGTGAGCCACCGTGCCTGGCCATAGGATCATCTGTATGTTAAAACCCTGGGTAGAATGAAATCCATATGCAGACTGATTCTTGGATTGCCAGTGAGCTAACAAATCTCTATTTTGATAAACACCTTTCTCTCCTGTTCACGTAGGTTCACTACATGACACACGGAGCAAACAATAACTCAGCCCGCCGTGGAAGGAAGCTGGCCATCGAGAACACCATGGCTCTGTTAGGTACGGACGGAAAAAGAGTCTCAGAAATGTTTCCCAAGGAAATCCTGGCCCCCTCTGTGAACGTGGACCCTGTTGTGTGGAACCAGTACACCAGCATGCTCAACGGTGGTCTGGCCGTGAAGACCAATGAGATCTCTGTGATCCAGAGTGGGGGCGTTCCTACCCTCCCAGTTTCCTTGGGGGCCAGCTCCGTGGTGAATAACACCACTGTCTCCAAGATGGATGGTTCCCAATCAGGTATCGGTGCAGACGTGGAAAAACCAGGTGCTACTGACAGCGTTCCCAAACACCAGTTTCCTCACTTCCTGGAAGAAAACAAGATTGCGGTCAGCTAAGCTAAAGGAGAACGTGCATGGAAGGAGAAGGGCAGACAGTGAAGTCTCTAGAATCTGCTTTGTTTCGTGAGAACTCATCTCCTCCTGTTTTCTTTTTCTCACTGATATGCAAATGATGTTTACCCTGGTTGTGACCACAACCTCAGGCAAGTCCTACAATCACGATTGTTGCTATGCTGCTTTGCAAAAAATTGAAAAAAAAAAAAAAAATTCATACCAAAACAAATAGACTTTTGTTTTGTTTTTTGTTTTTTTGAGGCGGAGTTTCGCTCCATCACCCAGGCTGGAATGCAGTGGTGTGATCTCAGCTCACCACAACCTCCGCCTCCCGGGTTCAAGCCATTCTCCTTCCTCAGCTTTTGAATAGCTGGGATTATAGACACATGGTACTGTGCCCAGCTAATTTTTATATTTTGAGTAGGGATGGGGGTTTTTCATTAAATTGGCCAGGCTGGTCTTGAACTCCTGACCTCGTGGTCCACCTGCCTTGGCTTCCCGAAGTGCTGGGATTACAACCATGAGCCACTGTGCCCGGCACTTTTTTTTAATGTTGGAAAGAAGCGGGTCTTGCAAAGTAGCTTTCTTAACTTGTAACAGACGTATACGTAGAGCCTCTGTACAACCTAGAATGACTTTTTCCAAAGACTTTCAAGGTAGGACTGTTGGAACTTCCAACAGTGGAAAAGACAACTACATAGCCTGATTAAGGGAGAGGGTTCTGTATTCTTCCTCTCTCTAACTCTATACTTCCATGGGACTGTACATGCGGGTAAAAGGACAAGGTCTGTCATCTCTTTAGGGACCTGTTTTCTATGCCCCAATCCTGTTCCCATTTTTTTTTTTTTTTGAATGTACTTAAAAAAGGAACAACAAAAAACTAAGGTTGTAGAATTATAAAATTGCTTCAACCTTAGAACCTTGAGTAGGATCCCCTCAAATGGACTTACGGCAGTCCTTAGGGAGTCAATGTACGTGTTGCTGCTTATTTAAATACAGTTCAGTCGGAGCCCCGAGAGTGCCAATATTTTCCCCACACCTCTTAGATGCCTTCCTCTTCCTGAACCCTAGAAGTGGTGGGCGCCTGAGCGGGGAATCTCAGGTGACTTAACTTACTTTGCCAGTGCCTACTCTATTGAAGAACTGGGTTTTCATTCTCGAGAAGAAACTCGTGGAAGGGCGTGTTTCCTATCACAGGTTCACATGCTGATTTTTTTGTTGGTGAATTTCCTTGGTGTGACTTCTGCCAAGTAATTATGAAGATTTTTTGTTTGTTTTCTTGCTGAATATTTCATGAAGGCTACGAAGTTAGCACAGGCAAGTCCTGGGTGTGAAAGCTTTAATTTATCTACCTCATTTATTCTTTATGTTTTGTAGCCATAGTGTATATTTCCCTATTTTAAGACCGCGTAAGTATTCCCAGGCCCTATCTAAAACCGAAGAGTTGATGTATTGGTGGGAAGAGCTGAACGTTCAAGATGATTTTTGTGATGCCTTTTTTTTAGCCTCCTATTGTATATGTGCTATTGAGCAAATGAAACATTGCTCTTGGTTTAAAAAGAAAGGAGAAAGAAAGAAGAAAACTCTTAACTTCTGGGAGAAAAAGTCTTTCCCCTCCCTCTATGTGGAAGGTCCTGACAGAAATGTGGATCCAAGACTCTTAGCCAAAGCGTTGTCTCCTCATCGTTGCACCTGACTTTAGGATCCCCCACACACACTTTTTTTTTTTTTTTTTTTGCCAAGTTGTGCCTTTCCTTCTGGAATTGTAAGTGAACACAATACTAGTACCTGTTTACACTGTGAAGTGGATATTGTTACAGAAAACACACCAGTGGCTGACTGTTGAGCTAATAATGCCTTGTGAATGTATGATCTACGGAGAAACCCCTGTAGTTGTACCTGCTGATGCTGTCTGTTGGAAAATAAATTTTGAATTTTTTTTTCCCACCAAGTGTATATGTAAGTTCTTCTGGTACTTTCTGCTCTATACCTCAGAATCTTTACTTAATCACTTTCAACTGCCTTGTGACACTCTCATTCCTAGAGTCAAAAAGATGCGCATTTGATCATGTCCATGCTTGCCTTAGTGTTTTGGTTTTTGGTGTGTGTGTGTGTTTTCTTTTTAATTGCATTTTAGGTTTTTGGTTTTTTTTTGAGACGGAGTCTCTGTCACTCAGGCTGGAGTGCAATGTTGTAACCTCGGCTCACTGCAACCTCTGCCTCCTGGGTTCAAGTGATTCTCCTGCCTCAGCCTCCTGAGTAGCTGTGATTACAAGTGTGCATCACCACGCTCAGCTAATTTTTGTATTTTTGGTAGAGACTGTTTCTTTTTCTTTTTTTTGTTATTTAGAGACTGTTTCCCCATGTTGGTCAGGCTGGTCTCAAACTCCTGAACTTGTGATCGGTCTTCCTCAGCCTCCCAAAGTGCTGGGATTGCAGGTGTGAGCCACCACGCCTGGCCACTTTTCTTTTTTTCTTTTGTATTTTTGAGACTGTTTCACTCTGTTACCCAGGCTAGAATGCAGTGGCACAATCTCAGCTCACTGAGACCTTGGCCTACCGGGTTCAAGCAATTCTGCCTCAGCCTCCTAAATAGCTAGGATTACAGGTTTGTGCCACCATGCCTGGCTAATTTTTTTTTTGTGGAGACAGCATTTCACCGTGGTCATCCAGCTTATCTCTGACTCCTGACCTTGTGAGCCACCTGCCTCAGGGCCTCCCAAAGTGTTGGGATTACAGGCGTGAACCACCGCACCTGGCCTTCTTTTCTTTTTTTTTTTTTGAGACAGAGTTTCACTGTTGTTGCCCAGGCTGGAGTGAAGTGGCACGATCTCTGCTCATCACAACCTCCTCTGCCTCCCAGGTTCAGGTGATTTTCCTGCCTCAGACTCTGGAGTAGCTGGGATTACAAGCATGTGCCACCACGTGCAGCTAGCTAATTTTGTATTTTTAGTAGAGACGGGGTTTCTCCAGGTAGGTCAGGCTGGTCTCAAACTCCCGACCTTAGGAAATCCGCCTGCCTCGGCCTCCCAAAATATTGGCATTACTGGTGTGAGCCACTGTACCCAGCGTTTTTTTTGTTTTTTTTTTTTAAGACAGGGTCTCACTGTCACTCAGGCTGGAGTGCAGTGGTATGATCTCAGCTCACTGCAGCCTTGACCTCCCAGGCTCAAGTGATCCTCCTGCCTCAGCCTTCCAAAGTGCTAGGAATATAGGTGAGAGCCACCATGCTGTGCACAGCTTGAAGTTCTAATTTAAGCTACCGTGACCTGGCCTCAGGTATCAACAGTGCTTACCTGTTCTCCCTCTTGATACTAAACCCACAGCATTTTTGTTTTATGAAACAGCTTCTTGCTCTTGTCACTCAGGCATGACCTTGGCTTACTGCAATCTCCATCTCCCAGATTCAAGTGATTCTCCTGCCTCAGCTTCCCTACTTGGGATTACAGGTGCCTGACACCTATAATTTTTGTAATTTGAGCCTGGCTATTTTTTGTATTTTGAGTAGAGATGGGGTTTCACCATGTTGGGCAGGCTGGTCTCAAACTCCTGACCTCAAGTGATCTGCCCACCTCAGCCTCCCAACGTGCTGGGATTACAGATGTGAGCCACCATGCCTCACCTGTTTTCTCCTCTCACACATAATTTCAGAGATCTTTTCAAGGTAAAACCCAATTCTGGCTAATCCTTTAAAATACCTGCAATTATGTGACAATGATGGTCTAGTCATCAATTGCCTGCACTGCTGGTGTTTTCCCATAAACGTCTCTGTCACTCAGGCTGCAGTGCGGTGGCATAATCATAGCTGACTGCTACTCCCCCCCTTTTTTTTTTTTTTTTTTTCCAGACATGGTCTTACCATTTTCCCCAAGCTGGCCTCAAATGATCCACTGGCCTTGGCCTCCCAGAGTGCTGGGATTACAGGTATGAGCCACTGTGCCTGGCCCCATGAATTTGATTTTGATTGCCTTTGTGGTATTTTCTGAGTTCATTTCCAGGGTAAATTCCTGCTTGAGATAGCTAGGAAAAAGATGATCCGCTGTGTGTGTTTGCTATTTCCATAACACAGTGTGTAATTGTGTGTCCACCAACGGCTACTTTCTGACCTGGGTGAGACTGAACCAAAAGTATCCACTTACCTAGAGTGGATATCCACCATTCTTCTCAGCCTTAATCTTTGAAGTTAATTCTTTTTTCTTTTTTTTTTTTGAGACGGAGTCTTGCTCTGTCGCTCAGGCTGGAGTGCAGTGGGGCGATCTTGGCTCACTGCAACCTCCACCTCCTGGATTCAAGCAATTCTCCTGCCTCAGCCTCCCAAGTAGCTGGGACTATAGGCGTGTGCCACTGCGCCCGGCTAATTTTTTTATATTTTTAGTAGAGATGAGGTTTCACCTCATTAGCCAGAATGATCTCAATCTTCTGACCTTGTGATCCACCCGCCTTGGCCTCCCAAAGTATTGCGATTACAGGCGCGAGCCACCGTGCCCAGCTGGAGTCAATTCTAAAGGGTAGATTGTGATTGCACCTCTGCAGGTAGATGATGCCCACACAGTGTGGTCATCACTTCGTTTTGTCAGTTACCATGTATACAACAATGGTCCCATGAAATTATAATACCGATTTTTACTGCACCTTTTGTGTGTTTGAATATAGTTATAGGCCAGGCGCAGTGGCTCACGCTTGTAGTCCCAGCACTTTGGGAGACTGAGGCGGATGGATCACCTGAGGTCAGGAGTTTGAGACTAGCCTGACCAACATGGTGTAACAGAGTCTCTACTAAAAATACAAAAATTAGCCAGGCGTGATGATGCGCACCTGTAATCGCAGCTAAGCAGGAGGGAATCACTTGAACCGGGGAGGCAGAGGTTGCAGTGGGCCAAGATCGCGCCACTGCACTCAAGCCTGCAGGACTGAGTGAGACGCCATCTTAAAAAAAAAAAAAAAAAAACAGGCTGGGCTCGGTGGCTCACGTCTGTAATCCCAGCACTTAGGGAGGCCGAGGTGGGCAGATCATGAGGTCAGGAGTTCGAGACCAGGCTGGCCAATATGGTGAAACCCCGTCGCTACTAAAAATGCAAAAATTAGCCGGGCATAGTGCCACATGCCTGTAGCCCCCGATACTTGGGAGGCTGAGGCAAAATAATCGCTTGAACCTAGGAGATGGAGGTTGCAGTGAGCCGAGATCGCGCCACTGCACTCCAGCCTGGGTGACAGAGTGGGACTCCACCTCAAAAAAAAAAAAATTCCTCTTTTTGTCCTTTCCTTAAGTTGGGACCCCCACGCCTGCTTTGCTTGGGGTCAGGGTAAAGTGGTGTTCCATTCGGTTATGTCTGACCTGAGCCCGGTGATGGGTTAGCTAAACCACAACATGGAGGAAGGTGTTAACACATCTGCATTTCCAGGAAGCTCGCAAATGAGTTTCAAAGGCAACTCAAAAAGTGACATAACCTGTTACTAATGACTTAGTGGATCTTTTGAGCCCAAACAGGAAATTTCATTAGTGTCAGCATGCATAAGTCCCAAAGCAGAAAAGCAGTGAAAAGTTAGATGACAAAGTTACATTTCCAATCCTAGGGAAAGGATGGGTTCGTGAAGAGATGGTAACTTCATTTGGAACAGAAGTCGTAGCTCAGCACTTTTGCTGGTTCCCCCAGGGCAGAACTTTAAAGCCTCAGTAACTTTGTTTGCAAAATGGGAATAATATTGGATTTATAAAATTACGGTGAGAGTTGATGAGATCCTGAAAACACTTAATCTGGGACACAGTATTCAATGTGGTAGCCATTGCTATGGTTTTTTTTTTTTTTTTTTTTTTTTTTGACTCCAAATCTATCTGATGCAGAATTTGTCTTAACTCTAGGTAAGTGGATTCTCATGGTTCAGTCTCTTGACACTGAGGGAGGAGGTCACCCAGGTCAGAAAGTAGCCAGTGGTGGGCAACACTTATGCCTTGGTGGCATGAGCTTTTGCAGCTCATAAACCAAGGGACGGCCAAGATCGCTCCACTGCACTCCAGCCTGGGTGACAGAGCGAGACTCCATCTCAAAAAAATAAAAATAAACCAGCCGGGCGTGGTGGCTCATGCTTGTAATCCCAACCCTTTGGGAGGCCAAGGTGTGCAGATCACCTGAGGTCAGGAGTTCCAGACCAGCCTGGCCAACATGGTGAAACCCCATCTCTACTAAAAATACAAAAATTAGGCACCAGGCATGGTGGTAGTGCCTGTTATCCCAGTTACTCGGGAGGCTGAGACTGCAGAATCACTTGAACCCAGAAGGCGGAGGTTGTAGTGAGCCAAGATCGCCACTGCACTCTAGCCTGGGTGACAGAGTGAGACTCCATCTCAAAAAAATAAATAAAATAAACCAAGGGACATCCCTGCCATGGCATACTTCATTATCCCATGATTACTTTGAAAATTAAAAGAAAAATGGATTTAATTTTTAAGGTAGGGATTCCATGTGTCTCTTCAAGCAAGGGTCAAACAAACAGCTGAGTATTTCAGCTGGAGTTACCACATTTTATATGGCCCACTCACCACCACCATCCACACACACAGGACATTCACAATGTGGCAAAATACTGTTGGTTCCAGGTCTTTTGTGTGTGTGTGTGTGTGTGATAGGCTGTCATTCTCACTCAGGTGACAAGTATGGCTGTGTCTAAATAGTTTTGCTCTTGGCTCCCATGAGCCAAAAAATTGACAGTAGCTATTTACTCTAAAGAAAAAACTCAGTCTGGGCACAGTGGCTCGCACTTTGGGAGGCCGAGGCGGGTGGATCACCTGAGGTGGTGAATTCGAGACAAGCCTGACCAATATGGAGAAACCCAGTCTCATTGCTTGAACTCGGGAGGCGGAGGTTGTAGTGAGCCGAGATTGCGCCATTATACTTCAGCAAGGAGAGCGAAACTCGATCTCAAAAAAAAAAAAAAAAAAAAGGTAAGGC